GCCGCCGGAGGCCACGCACCCTCCTGCGGGCCTCAGCCCACGGGGAGGGCTTCCTGTCCTCCCTCCCCGTTTTGGGGTGACTCCGAGGGGCTGTGGGCGGCTGAGGGGGGGGCTGGGACAGCGCCACCTCCCCCTCCCCGGCCTGCTGCCCTGTCAGTTATCCTCCTCCTCTCTCTTGGTGCCCGCAGCAATCAAGACGATTACCAGCTGGTTCGCAAGCTGGGGCGAGGGAAGTACAGCGAGGTCTTCGAGGCCATCAACATCACCAACAACGAGAGGGTCGTCGTGAAGATCCTCAAGGTGAGTGTCACGTTGATGGTGCCTGGAAGTGAGGGGGAGAGGAGCAGGGTTGGAGGGCCAAAGGAGTGTTGGATGTCTTTCACCCTGAGACTTGTTTTCTCATTAAGGGCATTGGGACCGTGGGTTTGGATATGGATTTGGTATCTCATGTGCTGTGGCCATGTTTTGATGTCTCCACCTCTCCTGTCCAATCCTTCTGTTAAGCTCTAGACAGCGGCCATGTGGCCTTTACAAAACCAGGCTATGGGACGCTCAGCAGACAAAAAAGCAGGCAAAACTTAGTCCTTTATTGCGTCTGACATAGAACTCCACCACAGGCAGGCCAAAACCACCATGGAAGCTTGAGGAGGCTGAAAGAGGCTGTCTGAAGTTTGGCATCATCAGTGACCTGTGTTCTGGTGTGTGGGCCACAGCGGGGTCAGGCTGCAAGGACCTTTGTGCAGCAGTAACGGGTTGTAGTTTGGGGGGCTGAATGCATGGGTCAGCTGCTGCAGGGCATGCCTTGCTGTGTCTGACACTGAAGCAACATGCTCACAGTGAGCTGTGGTAACTGTCCTAGCAGCAATCTGTGGTGGTGATCTGGGGATAGACAGGGGTGCTAAACAACCAGAAATGAAAGGTTAGAGTTGAGATGCTTTTGGTTTTGGCTTGGCTGACACTTGTGGCTGTCACTTGCTGGACCAGCAATGCTTGTCACTTGTTCCCCAAGAGCATGTGGGAGCCGGTGTATGACCAGGGGTGTTCTGAGAATTTGGACACAGGTTGATCCGCAGCATGTAGGGGGGTCTGAGCTTAAGCTGCCCTTGCAGTCACTAAGACTAGCAGCTACCTGGGACATGTGTCTCTGCAGAGCTCCAGTCGTGTGGCTAGCTGTCTTGTTTTGTCTTTGCTGATATCCCACTTGCTCGCTGTTCCTGCTTCCTTGGAATCTTCCTTGGCTTCCCAAAGAACTTGTCACGGTTTATCCGGCGGCCGCTCCAAGGCAAGGTGTGATCTCTCATCTGCCTCTGGGAGGAGGTTCGCACACCCCTGCTTTGGCTGTGGTGGTGGCGGCCAGGTGAGCTGTCTGGGAGAATCCCTGTGGCTGAGCTTGACATCAGGGCAGAGTGGTGAGGCTCACGTGTTCTCACCAAGCTGAGTTTCTCTGGCATGCTGTTTGGGCCTCCCTCTCCTTTGGATGCTTTATGTGGTTTTGGGTTTTTTAAGTAGCACCATGCGGGATTTTCTGCTACGAGAGTAGTCAAAGGTAGCTGGGGAAACTGTGCTTCTGTACGCTGCTCTGGAGACCCTGATGGTCTCTTCAGGACTGCTGTTTGTTGAGACCCTGGGTCTCGTGCCACATAGAAAGGCACCATGAGGCTGAGAAGATACTGGAAGGAAAGCCATCAGAAGTCTTCCTCCTTGCCTTTTCCCAGCCTAAAGAGCCTCCCCTGGAGCAATGCTCCTCTCCCTGCGGCGACCGAACTCTGTCGCGTCTAGGGAGCCTGTCAGCATTGGACTGTGAGTCAGCTGGCAAGAGTCATCCGAGGGCGGCTGGGTGCTCCTTCAGGCCTGAATCTGTTGCCTTAATGCCCTGCGAGCAGGGGACTGGATTGTCCCAGATCTGAAGCAGGTGGTGTTGCCACCAGTTCCCCTGGCTCCCTCCACTTGCATTAACATGCAGACAGTGTTCCTGTGAGTGGGCAAGGAAAAGCAGAAAGTCCAGATAAATAAAGATGAACTTCCTTCTCAGTGGAAAGTGGGTCAGTGAAAAGTGAGTATGGGAGCACCACATTGTGTATGTTATGAAAACCTGTGAAGTGTGGCAATAACATCACTGATTGGTGGGAAGTGCCTCTGGTTTCCTGCAGCTAGACTCAAACTTAATTGCAAATGTACTTCGCTGTACCTACAGTGGAGCCTTAGCCAAGAGGCTGGGTCTCTCTGTTCCTCCTAATTCAGGCTGGATCCTGTGAGCTGGGAAATGCAACCAAAAGTCTTCAGGTTTTTATGTGGCTGTAAGGGTGGGATAAAGGGGGAGACTTGCTGGGCACTGGATGTAGGTGTTCAGCACAGTTGCTCCTTTCTCTTTAAGGTTTTTTGAGATGACAATTTGTGATGTGTTTGAGTGATTTTTAGCAAGAGTCACTGTTTTAATATCTGCGCCTCCTGGGAGGTGACTGGTGTCTCTTCCCAGCCTTGCTCTTTGAAGCAGCTTATCCTTACTGAGCTCAAGTTAGTGTGTAGCAAGTACTTCCCTTGCCTTTTTTCCTCCCTCCTTTGGTGCTGTGCTACCTGAACATCTTGTACCCTCCTCCAGAGAGGTCAGGAAATTTTATCGCCTTTTCTCTCATGCAGAACTGAGCCACAGAGATTTCCTGTGTGACTTTGGGCAAGTCCCTTAGCCTCAACAAAGCTGAGACCAGAGCATAGGTCCTAGTCAAGTGCTGCACGAAGGAGATAACTGCTCTTCCTCTTCTGCCGGCGCTTGCCTTGTTTGTTTAAGTGCCCTGTGAAGACTTAGCACTGGACAAGGCTACGGGGCTAATGGATCTGATTGGTATCACAGTGCCCCAGGCCTTTTGGGCTTGCATAAAGCAAGAGGCTCTGTTTCCCTGGCCAGTCCCCAGCATTGCTTTTCTGTTCTGCTACCCCAAGTGCAGGACTGAGCATAATCCTGCAGGAAAATGTGATATGCTCCTGATGCTACTTGTGGTCATAACATGTCAGCAAAGGAGCAGAACTGAGATCATGCAGATGACTGACATTACCATTTCCTGGGTCAAGTACCTTTCTTTGCAAATATGATGCTCTTAATGTCACTTTTTCCAGGAAAATTCTTCCACCTGTTCAGGGAGCAAAGATTCAGCAAAAAAAGACGTGGGGCTGAAGTCATCTTGGTAGGTGGGGGAGGGCTCTGCACTCTACAGACCTTCCCACCCTACATGGGTAGCAGGGCATGGAGTTAGCCAGCAGCTGGAGAAGGAGGCTCTTGGGGGGGCTTTTTAATCAGGCTGGACTCGGTGCAGCTCTGGGAATGCTTCCTGCGTGCTTAGGGACCAAGCCAGGAAGAGGGCATATGTGAATGTGTCCCGTACGTAGTTTTATGTCTTGCTTAAATATGATGCTGAGGTTTGACTCCTGGGATGAGGTCTGACATTGCTCAGCATGTGCAAAGGCAGTTTAAGACATCTTTGTTTCCAGTGAGTCATGTGTCATTGTCCAATGCAGGTATCTAAAGTACACCAGCTCTTTCATATCTAACCACGTAAATTTAGACTTCTGGTGGACTGCTGAGGTCAGTCTGCAACCTTTGTGCTGTCTCTTTGATGAACTTCTTATTTTGTGTGTCTGCTAATGCAGCTCCAAAGTGTCTGCTGGTCTCCTCATGCGCCTTGAAAGCAAATCCTGCGTTCTGGGAAGGCAGCGTTCCCTGGGGATGTGAACAGCATTGCAAGCTGCTGCTCTAGAAACCAAAGATAAACTTTCTGTGTTGCTTGTAACTTTTGTGGGTGATTCTGTGTGGCAAGAGGACTGCTGTTAGTTACCTACAGGTGTGGCTGTTGGTGAGCTTCAGCTGCACCACAGAGTCCTTCACAGCCTGTTCTCTTGTGCTTATTGCTGCCATCTGAGTGTCCGTTCAGGGTGGAGATTATAGCATCCATATTGTCAGCCCAGTGCAGGAGTCCTGCTTTCACAGTGCACGTACGTGTCTGTGCAGTGTTGCCTGTGAAGCATTAAACCCACCACACAGACACTGTTTTGTCTCCTGGTATGGTTACCGTCTCCATAGGCACAACACGCAGGCGGAGGTTAGGGGAAGAACGCGGTTACAAGGAGAGGGACCAGTGAAATAGAGGTTCTGCAGCAGTGATGAAATAGCCCCTTTCTCCTTTGGTGGCTTTTGTCCCTCTGTGCTGAGTCCATGAACTGGAACTTTCAACCATGTCCGTGGTTTCACAAGTGCATTCTTGTTTGTTTGGCTTTGTTTTTCCCCTGTTCCCCCTTTTGGGCCGTGTGAACCCTCTGGAGCTGCTGCTCATATCAGGCACTGCTGCAGGGTCCTTCCAGCACTGAACTCCAACCATCGCTCTAGTAGGTAGAGAATCATTTGGGGGAGGTAACCCCATGGCTCTGGTAAAGTCTCCTCTGTCCCTAGAAGCTCTAGAGCCCACATACATCAGCATGCTCTAGATGAGGGCTGAAACGACTCCCATGCTGGTGTGCCGAAGGGATTGCACAGGGAAATAGGATTGGATGATATTGGTCCCTCAGGCTGGAGCTTTTGACTGCATCGGTGACCTTCCAGCAGAGCTGTTCGATGCCTGCTCCTGGTAGCTGTCTATGGCTCTTGCTCCTCCTGCGTTTGCATGCACTGAATCAGCTCTCCCTGGCCCACTTCCTCCTCTGGCAGTCTTGAAATGAGCCCTTTTGCAAGAGAGACGGGTACACAGCTCTTCTCTTTTAAACACCAGTTGCCCGCACTGAGCTTGGCACAGTTGGCTGCTGGAGCCCAGCCTTGTTTGGAGCCGAGACCAACAGGGACAGTGCCGGGAGATGCAGCTGATGGCTCTTGCCGTGGTGTTCCAGCACCAAGGTTCCGGCGAGCTGCCAAGCTGGGGCTCCTGCGAGGAGGGCAGGTTAGAGCACTGTGTCTGCTCGCGGTGACTTAGGGCAGAACCTGAATGGATGACTGCCATCCCTCCTAACGGTGATGGTGGGGACTGGGGCTTGGTCCTCGTGCCTCTCCCTTTTAGCTTCTTGCAGAGGTCTGGGTGCATCGTGGGCAGTGCCGAAGCCCCAGGAGGGCTGTTTTGTGATGCGCTGTGAGAGGAGGAAAGGCATTCTGAAGGAAAGAATGCCTTCAAAACACTCTACCAAACTTAAATAAAAGTAGTTTCAGGGTAGGGTTTTTCCCCTTTTTTCTAAAATTCAGGAGCAGCTTGGGAAAGTTGTGAATTCCCATAATGGAAGTTGTTTGCATCTTACGACTGTCAGAATATTAACACAAGTGGGCTCCT